GAACAGCTATTTCCGGTCCAATGATATTAGACCCTGAGTTTGGACTATTCACTTTCTTTGAATTGCACGTTCGAACCCCATAAAAATTCATTTTCTCATTCTAATTAACTTGTAAATAATTATAATATGTTTGAAAAAATATATAATATTGTACTTATACATTAATGTTGTAATTATATCATTTTTAAAATAAAAACCGATTACAGGAACACTCTTCCAGTTAAAATACCTGCTTGCAAAAGGCAGCATAACCGGTGGATGTTTGCCTGCAATCCCTGGCAACTGTTTTTTGGGATTTTCAGCATCGGAAATCTCTGGTAACCAACAACCAAACTGCGGCAAAACTTGCTCGGTTTGGCACAATCCGGGAGGAATCCCGGGATTCCTTTACAACCAAACAACGCTTTAAAAAGCAGCTTAAGTCAAGACACAGACAGTTATGGAGAAGGGGAGAGAAGGTTTGCTTTTGGCAATCAAAGCATCATTCTGTCTCTACTTTTGATTTACAGGAGATTTGTCACTTTATTTCAAACTTTTGTATCATTGACTCAACCACTCCAACCAATAGCACATAGCTTGACCTGTACCAGTCCCAGGAGACACTGTAACTCAGCCAATTCTTGGAGAAGAGAACAGAAAAAGAGGTGGCTCTGTCTTTGATAACAAAGGTGGTTTCTTTAATAAAGGAAAATGTATGAATTGTGCCAAGTGCCAACTTCATGGATACTTGGTTAGGCAACCATTTATGGCGCATGGCATGCATGCTGCTTCTGTTTCCTTGATTTTTTTTCTTTTCTATGGGAAAGCAAACAGAGTTACAGAGGTGGGTTTATGATCAGCAAAAACTGAATGAATCTTTGAAAGTGAAATTTAGGACGCCCTGATGTTAAAAAATGTGTGAACGCTCCAATCCCAAACTACATGAATGGGATCATGATGGGACCTCACACTATGTTCCACACATCTTGTGGTTGAAATTGGATGTCTTGATGTTTTTAATGCCATGTCCTATATTTCTATATCTCAATCAACCCATTTTGTATTCCGTGTGCGCCCTACCATCCTTTGAGTTTGGGGATTGCAGAAGAGTCAAAATTTTTGACATTTATGCAAATGCCATTTTTCAAGCAAAAGGAAATGGATGATAGACAATTTTTCTATACACTGCCTAATTTTCAACCTACAGCTAGAAGCTTCTATTGCCAATACAAAAATTCTTGACTGGATGACCTTTTAAACTGAGGGATATTAACTCAAAAGTCCACCGGTACCTGTTTTTTGAGAATGATATATCATGACTCTTCCACTCATGACCATTGCATATGGAATATTCCCTCCTGGGATCCAAGCCATGCCCCCAAAATAGGGCACTGTCCATATAGCTCCTCTTCATATGTCAGTCTTCCATCTCCCCCTCCTGCATTCAAAAATGCCAAATGATATATCTCAACATTCATAAAGGAGAAAAATGAAAAGATTGATGGACAAAGGATGATAAGCTACATAAACATACTTTCACTTCTTCGCCAGCATATGGTTGATAGGACAGATTCAGAAAACTTTTCCTCAAAGATCAGTTTACCAGACTTGATGCTCCAAAGTCTTAAACAACAGTCCTCTCCACCTAAGAAGAAAAGGTCGTCAGCAAAACTCTATTTTTGGAGGTGATCTGTTCAAAAATTATTTCAGATGATGACTGGAGGAGTATGAACCTGACATAACAAATCTCTCTGACTGGTCAACTCCAAGCCTTATACGCGTATGAGAATTTATATGTCCGTCATAAGATTGCACAGCGCCTCTCTTAGTCAGGCGATGATCATAGAGCTTAATCTGTTGAGTGAATGTCAAAAAGAATCCTTAAATGAATGAATCCAGAAAAGGATGTATCAGAATAACCAATTTGAAAATAACAAAATATAGCTACCGGTGGCATTAAAGTTAATATAAGTACTACTTTATGATAAATGAAAAATGAATCCAATGAACTGAAGATAGGTACATTAAGCAGCAGTGAGGACTGAGGATCAATGTCACAAGAGACTTAAAGGGGCTAAGGAAAACTAACCGAACCATCCATGGAGCTTGCCAAGAAGTACTGATCATACAACTGAAGGGATGCCAAACTTGAGTCAAAACATCAGGGAGGAGTAATTAGAATCCAAACCAAAAGAAAAATACAAGCAACCTTAAACGATATATTAAAGTTCACTAACCTTGAGATAGATGAAGGCATATGAACTGTAGATGACAGGGATATGTGTCCTTTGAGCTACAAAATGTGAGCACCAGAAATTATGCAAAAACTCCATGAGAAAACATTTCCAAATTAAAATTTCATCAAATGTAAATAGATCCATGCAATGAGATGGAAAAACTCAGAACATGAGAACAAATGAATTGCATTAAACAAATCAGTGAAGAAGAGAAATTGCAATATATACTGATGATAATTAAGCCACTACAGTGCCCAAAGTTTTTTACTAATTGGCTCTGCATCAGATTGTGAGAACACAAAGACATAGTTGTAAGATGGTTTGATTGAATTTGAGAATAAAATTTTCTATTTCAGAATAACTTTCCTTGTGTCAGTATTTCTAATACGGACATGACCATATGAAAAATCAATTGTCGTTTCAAAACTAAGCTATCAATGCCAATACCTCAAACCATGGCTTTCGGCCACTTCTTTCTGAAGACAAGTAAGGTATACGGTGTTTAATAAGTCTAGCAGAAACACCTTGCTTCTCACGAACATCAACTGTGACAATAGCTCCATTTCTAAGTCCACATAAAACAAGATTTCCCTGCAACAACAGAGGTTCTGAATCAATTTCAAGAGTTACTTAGGCATGCTGCAAGCTTCCTGTCAATATCTTCTAGAACATTAGGTAGCTTTCAAGCTCCAACCAGGACAAGATTCAAACCACAGACCAGTGACCTGTCAGGTCTTCAATTGGATGTAACCCAAAGGTCTTCCACCCTATTACTATAATCCTTACCAAGATCATGCAATGGAAAAACATATAAAATGCATAGATCCTTATAGATAACATTCTGATACCGATAGCTATGATTATAGATTACCAGCTAGCTTCAGATCGTTAATTGATCAGACATACAGTATAATATAATATTAATTGATCAGACATACGCAGTAAGATATAGTATATCCTTCATAAACTTGGATCAATTGAAGTGCATAATTCTCTAAGATCTGGAGGCAACTTGAAATCTTCTTGAATGCATCTTAGAATTTTGAATCACATAGAACTTACTGACTGATCAAATTGCTGTGCCAAGACATCACTTTTACAATGACACACCCATGAAGATGTTCCTGTTTCCACATTCACCAGAGCAGCTCCAACATTGGTGCCTATAACAACCAAACGGAAGAACATTTATAAGTAATATCAAAGTGTATATAGACCATGTTGAGGCAAAAGCTATTATTATCAAGTAACACATACTGGTTGAATTACCCAGTTAACACAACAAGTTGAGACAAAAGCTAGACCATATTGAGTTCTAACCAAAACAGATGGGTTTGAGGGGTGAAACACACAAAAGCAAACATAAAAACCAACCCCCCCCCCCCCCCAATCTTTTCTGTTCATAATCAACATCTAGAACTAAGAAATATGATTTCATGATACGGTTTGCAACTTTTCTGATATCAAAAAGAAGTAAATTTGCCGGAATTGGAGAAAATTGCTTGGCCTACTTAGCACCTTTAAGCTACAAGGATTCTGGAATATGTCTCACAAGTGATCATGAGATCTCTGTTTATAACTCTAAGTTATAGAGCCTTTATTTATTGGCAAATGAAGCACAGTACTAAAGCTAATTTGAAGACTAACATAATAAGAACAAACATTAAATGGAAAACAAGGGTAAGCAGAACTTGCCTATCACTGCTTGACTTGTATGGGAATTGTAATCTGCAGTCCAGATGGTGCAACTGAAAGGAGCAACCACATGCATTCTTTGGGGTATCATAGAAGTAACATCGATCGGTTCAATGAGACTAAGAATGTATACATATCCACCAGAGAACTCAGATCCTAAAGTAGTTATCCTGTTCTTTTACGTTAAGGCATTGCATGTACAAAAATTGATGTTCTCCCTCGCATATAAAATAAAGAATGCATCTTTTTAAAAAATATATATAAGTAAAATTAAGAAATGGAGATCTGAACATATAAAATTATTCAAACCCAGAGTAAAATATAACAACCAAAAAGAAGATCCCTATTGTGGTAATTCATTGAAAAAACTCAACAATTAAAAGAAAAAAAAAAAAGAAAAAGAAAAAAAGGCATCAGAAAAACCATTATATATCTCACTCCATATCACTTAAGATAGATGACACTGTTTCTCCTGCAAGATAGCTGAAATTCCATATATCACAAAACAAGGTTCAACATTATATGGAATGAGTTCTCTTCATAGATTGACTCTCATGCAGTGATTAGACCCTAACCCTACTAAATTAACATTAAATCCCTATTCATGACACTTTTATGCATTACCCACAGATTAAAAATATACATAAAACCAAAGCAAAGAGAACGTTCTTTTTATTTTTTTCCTTACTTTCCCATGATATGTGAATTTAATAAGAAAGGAAACAGTTTTTTGTCAGTTGCAATGAGCATGTAAAAATGACTCATTACACATTACACCGGTTTCCATGTAAGGAAATAAACACAAGATTTCATCAAAATCAACAATAAGGATACAATGCATGTTGCGCCCTAGAAGCATCACCTGTGGCCAAAGAAGAGTACTTTCCAGTCACTTTAAGAGAAGATATTCTAGATGATGTTTGAACTGAAGCTCCTGGAGGTCTCCAAATATGCTGAGGTGCTACACCACCATTTGATAAGTTTACCCTACCAGATGGCCAAACATGATTTGGAATGCAAGTTACCCCATAATCAAAATGCTTTCCATCTTTTCCAACTTCCAGAAAGCTGCAAGATCACTGAACTTCATAAGTGATAGCTTAAAGTTGTAATGCAGGTATATTAATGTAAGTTCCCAACTTTATTTGTACCTCAAGGAGCCATTTATACCACCTGCCAGGAGAAAATCTGTTTCAGTTTGGCCCTCTGGTGTTTGTAAGTCAATTAGCATCTGTTCCAAAGTGCTATCAGCTACATTGTCTGTTCCCCTATATCTCCAAATCTGCAATAAATTCACATTAATAATGGACTATGCAATGACAAAGAGCATAGAACACTTCTAAACTGCACATAAATAATAGAACCCTTTTAAATGGGATTAATACGATTGATACAGAGGGTAAAAACGCATAAAAGAAATTTTTGAAATAAACAAGCATATCAATGCGGTGACTTAGAATTAAATCTAATATGCAGTGTGGCTGAATCGTAAAGTAAAATGGGAAAAAAAGAATAACTTTATAGTTCCAGGCATATAATTATCAATCAACTTACATCAGGTCTAGATGCTTGTATCTTTTGAAATTCTTCTTCAAAGCTAAGCTTCCCTCTATTGGAAGCAAAGAACTTTCCATTCAATTCTCTTCCATGAAGCAGCTTAGATGTCATCACCCCAATTCTGGGGCTTAACTTGGCAGCCTGCAGACAAACAAAATGAAAAATTCTGCCAAAGACATGCTATAAAAGTGTAAAAAAGAATCTTAGCAGAAGGAAAATCATCACTGAGACAGCTGCAGTAATAAAATTGGGGAACTGAAATTGCTGTTTAGGCCCCAAATTGTTGCTTATATATACCTTAAAATCTTGTTTGCCTTAAATTGGGATTCATTCATTGCACAGTTTTTTTTTTTTTTTTTTTTTTT